TGGAAAAAAATGAATATAGCTACCACATCCAAGGACTAGTAAACTGCAATATACTGAATATTTAACATTTTGGGTTTAGATTTAAGCAATTAAGGTGCTTACAGACATAAGAGAACATGTGCCCAAACATTTGTCTGGTCTTAATTAGCGTCTGATTTCCTGTCCTAGTGATACCTGATGCCCAGTTTTCTTGTCCTGGTGTCATTGTAAACTAATGTACCAGGTAGCTGACAAAGCAGTTTGAAACTTACCATTGCCATCGTCCTGCTTTCACCACCTCTGCAGCTGACTAATGCTTGCCCAATCTAAAAATAGTTTAACAGTGAAATAGCTTAGAGTGAAAAGTTCTAAATGGAACATATGCCTGTAACTGAAAAGGTGTAAACCACAGAAATACATCTATACCACTATACACAGGGTTCACTATAAGAGTGCAGAAGAGTACAGGGAGCGTTTCGGGTAGACCAAGTCATGTATGTGAAATGATCCAAAGGACCTATTATTATTATTATTATTATTATTACCATTAATGGTAGTGATTCAAAATATTAAATGAATGCTTCTGTAGAGGCTAAAACATTAATGATTGTAAAGGCTAAAATATTAACATTTGCAGTCTTATGGTGCTCAGAGAAACTACAAATCTAGAAAAGGTCGGGAGATGCATGCTGCTCATGGAGAAGTTCAGAACTTTGGACTGTGTCCTAAATAAAGATAGGCATATTATGCACTTCTAGACCACTTTAAACCACTGATTAACTCCTTCCCACTATGGTCACACATATATGTGGTGCCACAGAGGTGGGCTTTCCTTAATGGCACAACATGTATGCATACCGTTGTTTGTGCAAGGAGTGAGCTTGACTGCATGCTCCCAGGATAGAGACTGAGTTGCCACCAACAGCTCCTGGTCTCAGGGTAAGGCAAATTGCCGACAGGCGACTTTGCTGTTATTGATCTTGCCATTGGAGCATTATCAACATTGCCTCGAGCAGATTTGCTAAGAAGCTGAATCTGAGGCAGCGGGATGTTGCTTCTGTCTTTGGCAATTGAGATTCAGCAGCATTCAGGCCTGAGGTGCCGCGCGCGTCGGGATCCTCAGGCAGTTGCCGGCCAGCTAAATTAGGACCCCACCTGGAGCTCCTCCCACCGGACTAGCGCTGACTCGCCGCTGCTCTCCCGGACCGAAGGTAAGTGAAAAAAAAAACCATAGCGCAAACATCGGGGCATTTTGACAAGTAGAAGTACTTGTCAAAATGCCCTGTTTTTTCCGCCCTCACCCTGCAGCGCCGTAATGCGGCCGCCTGACTTGCCTTGCGGTAGCGCCGGGCCTGATAGCTGCTCACTATATTGCTCCTTCTCCTAGTAAGAGAGAAGTGCAGGCAAGAGCGGCACAAAGCTGCCGGCTGCCTCTGGTGATTGTCCTTCCTTACACCCATCACAGGGAAATTGACAGCTCCTGTATCCCTCATCTAGGCAGAGGGAGGAAGGCAGCTTCTCCTGGCTTGGCCACCCAATGATAAGCATCTCAGAGGAAGTCAGCCTGATGTGCAGATCAGCACCTGCTTACATCAGGCACAGATCTGCAGATAATATCTGCATTACATTGTTGCTCAAATGTTAGTTTAGAAGTCACAGAAACTGCAACAATCCTGCGACAAATCATAATTTCCAATTCTTCAGGATTTGCCACAACGGTTGAAAAACATCTTCAGCATTGGCGCAATATGTTGATGATTTGGAGTATATTAAACAAGCAACATGTGTGCCAAAAGAAGTTGTAAAAACAATAGTTTTTAAGGTCCAAAGTATCTTTGTGGAGGCTCCATGAAAGAGAAGCCTATTAGAAAAAAAGTCTGTAACACAAATTATAATAAAGATAAAATAGTTAGATCAGGGTTATATGGTCAGTGTCAGTGCCAGTGTCTAGGTTGGATAAAAAAAAGTATAATGCATACTATAGATTCAGCAAAGTCACCACAGACCGAAGAAAAATAATTGCTGGCGTGTTTATAATTTGGTATGCAGAACAATGGGAAGCAGCCCACTGCATCACTTTTTGGTATGCGAGCTGGAAATTCTGAATAAGATTGTTTTTCTCTTGAAAGGAATCAGGAATTGTTAAGAAATTCTAGTGAATGAAGATTGTTTTTTTTAATAATGATCAACTGATGACTTCCTCAGAAACAGGGCCAAACAAAATGGTCAATTTTATCAAATATTAGGAAAGTCCGGATTTCCCACCAAGTGCTAAAACGTCATTTCGTCTTGCCCAGGGACACGTAAGAACGGCACATATTCAGTCTTTTATAAGAACTAAGCTCAAAAGTATTAGCAAGGCAGGTGCTTTCTAGCAGTCAAATAAATTTCCACTTACGTCATTTTTTCAAATAAGCAGTTAGTAGAGAACGGATCCATTGATGACATGGTTCATACCACATTTTTTTAAAGAACACTTTCACATGATTTTCCTGATGAAATATATAAATTAGTAGCACAGTGCCTTTACAGTATATATTCCTATATATATCTCCAGCAATGACATAAACAGTATATTGTATACTTTGTTTTATAAAGAAACTTTTGATATGACAAAATATTACCATAGCACTATTGGTTTCCTAAAAAGAAAGTCCAGCACAAGATGTTTCCTTTCAGGCACACTGTGTTTGATTGAAACCTCACAAGGAGCCATATGGAGGGAGTGTGAGAGAGACTTTGAAGATAATGTATATATAGCAGGGTAGGTATAAGAGTTTTGTATATCTTTTATTTATATATTAGAATCGCATGCAATGTAAAAAAAAAAATCCACATAACATCAAATACTACAAAGCCAGGAGCTCAAGAGACAGATTGCAGCAATCAGCTTAATGGTCCTATATCTGTAAAGGCTGCAGGGACATCATTCTATCATTAGTACTACATACTGGGTGAGCTTTGCTCTAACCGCCTCTCTTGCAAGGTTCTGCAATAAAGTTCATCATCATTGTATCTTCTGTGTGGACGCAGTAAAAAAACGGCCGGCCCGGAGCTCTCTAGATCTGAGCGGGTGTCTTTAGACGTCCGCTCAGACACGCCCCCAGCGGCGCGCGCGAGCGGGAAATGACCGCAATTTAATTATCACAGCGCTGAATACTGAAAAATGGCCTGGCAAGGAAGGGGGTCTAAACACCTGGTCTTGAAGTGGTTAAGGTACTTGAATATATTTTTAAAATTTAACTTCTGAGTTTAGTGTCACTTTAAGGGGAAAAGAAGAGGGTAACCGGCAATAAAGTGGATGCATACAGACACAGAGCCAAATAAAAGACTGGAGAACACAAGAGCCAAAAATCGACATCAACTTGATGGCACTTAATAATTATAATATATTTGAAATATTGCATATGAATGTTTTACATTCTTCTTTTTTTTTTAATTCTTTATTTATTTTAGCCAACAGATGAAGCACCCTTTTTTCATATGTTTTGCTGATAATAACCTCTTGTTCACTGAGCTGAATAGCTCAAGCTAAACTTTACACAAAAAGAAGTGAATAAGCCAGAACACTGACTTTTCCCTCCTCCATACCTGGTCTGTTCAGGTGGATCTGTCCAAAGTTTTAATGGGAAAGTCTGCTGTGCTCTTTTCTTTGAAAACCCATTATGCTCTGTGAATCCAGGGTTATTGGTCAACCCTTTGATTAATGTTTTTTGGTAGAGTGGTACAGTTTATTTAGTGAAGGTTCTTCACCCCTTTTCAATTAGCTGTAAAAGTTATACATTTTCCTTTGAGAGCACAACTGTACTTTATAGTTTTTTTTAGACCCGTGGTTCTCAACTGGTGAGTTGTGACCCAAAAGTGGAGAGAGGTTCCTAAGCCACCGGTTGTATTTAAAATACATGTGGCCATTTTTAATGGATACATTCTTTAAACCCCAACTCCAGGCCTTTGTTGGGAGAAGGGTCCCACTATAATGGTGATCAATGGGAAGAATGCTCCTTACATTGGCAGTCAGTGGGAAGGATGCTCCTTACATTGGCAGTCAGTGGGAAGAATGTTCTTTACATTGACATTCAGTGAGAAGAATGCTCCCCTATAGATATCTAAAAAGATAATTGGTTACATACTGAAGAGTCAGAAATGACTCCATGGAACCCTAGTTTAGAAAGGCTGTTATACACAATTAAGGGGTATTGATCAGAAATACACATGTGTCAAGGGATATGTGATGTGGGGTAGTCCACACCGTGGGGTACAGGGTCAACATTTCGTGCAATGATTCTTTGAACCTTAACTCCAGTTTATTGTTGGGAGAAGGGTCCCATTGTACTGGTAATCGGTGGGAAGAATGTTCCCCTATGGATATCTAAAAAGATAATTGGTTACCTATGCAAGAGTTAGAAATTACTAATGGCTCAGAGTACCCCTTGTAATCCTAGTGATCCATTGAACCCTGGTTTTGGGAGGCTGTTATAAACAATGAAGTGGTATTGACCAGAAATACACCTATTTAGAGGGTATGTAATTGGTATTAATTAGAAATATGACTATGTTAAAGGGAATGTGAAGCGGAGTATCCTACTACAGGGGCATATGGTCAACATTTACTGTAATGAAACAAAGGCTTTCTGGTTCCTTTTGGCCTATCTTACCACACCTTCTAGACCTTCTCAACTACAAAATTATACATAGTCTGCTTTGTTTTCACACCTATTGTAACTGTGAATGAAATGTGAAGCACGCTGCTGTAACAATTGAGGAATGTAGGGATCTAGGTTTCCACTTCTATAATTACCTCATCCCAGAGAGTGGGACTTTCCAGTTAAAATATAATGTTTTGGTGTCGGTACCTTGACCTATCACCCCCTGTGATCTCCACAGCTTATAATAAAAATGTTTGTTTTCCAACAAAAGGGAAAAAAATGTGTCACCATGACGTGAGTTCCTGCTCAGAGACTGGGGTCTGTATATAAATGCTATAAAACCTGGAGGAGGGCCTAGACGAAGGCAGAGGAGGCTTGTGCTCCCAGCTCCTGAGGTTTGCACACAGACCACAATGTACAAGATCATTAGCTGCACGCTTGTGGTGGTGAGTACACACAGTCACAGCTACACTCTCTGTGGCTGGCTGGCTAGCTTTTCTCGACTGCATCTACTGTACAAGGCTGTGTCTCTGCCTGTTAGAGCTAAGATACATAGCTGACTTTAATTTCACAGTATTTAACCTCTTGCTGGCACATGCCCTGTTTGCAACACAAAGAAAGCAACATGTTACAAAGGAAGCGGTTGGCAATCAAGAGGTTTAAATGCTCAATAGCATGAAATGTAAGTTGCCCATAAAGTTTAACCCTTATGTGGGCTGCTCAAGATGCCGGAGAGATATCTGTATGTAGATTTTCATTGGATAAATTGGGTTTTGTTAGTAGATGTATCTATGCCATGTGATTGTGCCAGGAAGCGTGCATGCATTTGTCATCTTTATAGTGGAAATATGATTGTATTCTGTCCTCAGTCTTTAACCATGTAAGCTGAAATGGTGTGTGATGAAACTGGAGGGATACGGTGGTATACAATGCATAGGGGCATCTTTGTGTGGTCTCCATCTAAATCATATGTATGGATCTAAGAATTCATGTATTTGTCTTGTGTGTGTCTCTCTCTCTCTCTCTCTCTGTAATTATCCATGCATGCATCTATCTCATCTATCTATCTGTTCATATACACAAACATACACCTCTGCATCTGTTATATTGTGTAAGGAAACACTAGTTTCCTTTTCTTTCTTTCTTTCTTTCTTTCTTTCTTTCTTTCTTTCTTTCTTTCTTTCTTTCTTTCTTTCTTTCTTTCTTTCTTTCCTTCTTCCCTTTCTTTTTTTCCTTTTCCTTTCTTCCTTTCTTCTTTTTTTTTTCTTTGCTTACCTTCCATTTTCTTTCTTTCTTTCCTCTTATCTAATCCCCTCATACCTTTATCTTACCTAATCATCAAATGCTTTCTCTTTTTTTTCTTTCTTTCTTGCTATTGAAAATGATTTTATGTGTTACCTTATCTAAGAATTGCGTTATCTGTCTCAAGTCTGTCTGTCTATCCATCCATTTCTATAGTATCTATGATATTACATACTGCCTTAAGCATTATATAGACCTGTAGATTTTCCTACAAATGTTAATACAAAAAGTCTGCTCAGAACATTCTTATGCCATCAGAGACTTGATGAATGTCATATGAAATTCTGTTTGGTTTTAACATTCGATTTAGTAATGAATGACGTTTCCCAAATGAAAACCACATTCTCTGTCCATACACTGTAATATTTTCTTTGTTCAACCTGCCAGCTGAACAAAGAAAATATAACAGAATCCTCCTATCAAAGCTTTACGAGTGTTGATCAAGGAATACCCCGCTGTCTTTATTGTATTAGAAGACCCAGCAGCTGATTGGGTGCCCGCTCTGCTTGTCCAAAGATTTTCCAAGCAACTCCTTCGATCAGCTGATCAAGAAATGGCAGCCAAAAGGGTGCCGACAGAGGCACCCACTGTGCAAATTTCGAAAGGTTCAACAACAACTGGGCGAAATTTGCATAGTGTATGGCCAGCTTTAGAATTTAATTCCTTCAAGAAACAGTTTCCATCCATCCTTCATTCTAACAGTGAATATGGTTTTCGTTCGGTAAACTCCATTCAATGTTAGAATTTTGTTTTTTCCAAGAAACATTTCCACCCTGTCCCTTTGATTTTTTTTTTTTATTACTATGGTCAAAATCCATCATCGATTTGAGCCCATTAGAAAATGAAATGAATGTTCCCAAAAAACTTTTTATACAACAAAATTCTCACCATGTATACCCGGCTTAAGTTATAGAACCTGGCCTATTGTTATGTCCTTTCACGTTAGACATAAATGAAGGCATATGACTGGTTCCTGAGGGGTAACACAGACACTATCCTTTCCGCTATCATTGTTACACTATATGAATAGTTATTTACTGATCAGTAAAAAAAAGTATTGTGGCGCGTAGCAACCATATATTTCCATTACGTTATCTGCTAGAGACAAATCACCCACTGGGTGAGAGCGGCAGCTGTTTCCCATGCATGCATTTTCAAAACTTAGCTCCCATATATGTGGCTGTAGTTTGTGCAAAGTGACAGGGGCCTATTATAAAGGTTATAAAGACTGATGTCCCTGTATTTTGTTGTTCCCTTTTTCAGTTCAGTCTGTTACTAAAAGCTTGTTTGAGGCTCTAGCTCACTATTTCCATTCATTAGCTCGGTAGTTTTGGAAGCCACTAGTTTCTAATCCATTTTCCTGTAGTTTATGTTAATTTGCTTCATTTATAATGTGCTGTGATTGGAATTTTAAGAATAAAATTGTGGGATTAGTACAGCGGTGTAGCATTCATCATAATACAAACCTCTCCCTCTTACTCAGCATTAGTGTGCTACTATGGTACACCACACCAGTTTATTCTAAACACTTGACATTTTTGTTCTCGACTTTCAAAAGCATTTTTATGATTCTTCTAGTTACCTGCTAGAGTTTCCTGCTTTTTAAAGGGGCACCGTCCCTTTGCCCATTCAGGTCAAAGTGACAGTGTCTTTGCAATGTGAATCCCCACTCCCCCTTCCTTTACTTACCATACCAGTGTTTCCTCGCTGCTCCTACTTCCTTTGTTGCAGTTGCCAATAAAATCTCCATAGTCCGCTGGTGTTGGACACAGGGAGAAAGCACTGACGACAAAGTTAAGGTCACATGTCCCAAAAAACACATGGAAGTACCAGGTACTGTCATAGCGACTGTGATGCAATGGAGGAATGAGTGGTGTGGGAGCGGTGGTAAGGAGAATATTAGTGAGTTGGGGGTCCCTTGTTGCAAAGACATTTATCATTTGTATGCAAGATGAGGAGCTGCACAGTGTCATTGGTTGACTGAAGGCTGAACGGCACAGCTTCATTGTTTGTTAGGACGCAGGTAGGCGCACCATTACAACCAATGACGCTATGAGGTCCCCAGCTTCTTAAGAACATCGTCATTGGTTGCTAAGATGCTAGCGACTCCACAGAATCATTGGTTGTTATGGTGCACTTATCTGCGTCCTAGTAACCAATTATGCTGTGTGCCCCCCTGCTTGTGTCTGTGGGGGCGATAGTGCATGATTGGATGCTAAGAGGATGGTGGCCCCACAGTGTTATTGGTTGTTATGGTGCACCCACCTTTGTTCTAGCAACCACTGACACTTTGCATCCTAGCTGCTAGTATACTAGCTTGTGGTTGCTAGAATACAGATGGCCCTGGGATAGATTCACTTGGAGGTTCTCCATACCCAGATTTCCGGCTTGGTTCAGTGAACCAAACCCAGGCAAGTTTGCTCATTACTGCAAAGAAGTAAGCTGCTGAGACTGGTCAACCCCTCACTTGTTATACATGCTGTATATGCCAGCCATGAGATCTCTCTGTTACAATACACAACCGTGCCTTGCCAGTGCCAGTTAGCTTACACACACTAACAGGGTTATTCGCAAAAGGGTGAAGGGTTTGGAGAAGGCAGGAGAAGGGAACAATCTAGGCCAAAATAACCAAACTGGAAAGTGAGCTGAATTGGGGAATTCCAAATCAGCTATATTGTCCTAGATTGTTCACTTCTCCTGCCTTCTCCGAACTCTTCACCCTTTTGTGAATAACCCTGTAAATGTGTTTCTTTGGAGAAGGAGAGAGGTAACCATATTTGTTTTGCTGCTCATTTACTGTCCAATCACAAGCTGTGGGCAGGGAAGTGACCAGACTACAATGCATACTGCAGCAGAGAAAAGTCTCGTCACCAGGTGGCTGTGGTATGTGACAGGGCTGTGTACATTTTATGACAGGGTGGACAGAAATACAGACAGAGGACTTGTTGGTGGTAATGTGGGCTCATAGAATTTGGCTTTAATAAAGAGCTGGTTTGCTGTGTACAGTCAACAGATTCACCGTAAAGGGCTAATACATTTAAAGGAGAACTATGAGGCGAGTGAAAATCACTCAGCCTCATAGTTCTAGCCAACCTGTGACAATGCAACTGTCACAGGTCGGCTCAATAGATCGGGAAGTGAGCGAACACATAGTGTCGCTCGCTCACTTCACGATCTATCCCTGCAGAGAGCCGTGACTGTCTCCTCCTCCCCTATCCAATCCTCCAGCACTGACTGGCGGAACGGACAGGGGAGGGGGCGGGCACAGCTGGCTCTGCCTCTAGATAGGCAGAGCCAGCTGTCAATCCCGCAGCTGGGTGGATCTCGACAGTACGTCGGGATCCGTCCCGGCTGCGGCGTCTCAATATACCGCGAGCTGTAGCTCACGGTATACTGAGCTTAGGGTGACGGGAGGATGCTAGTTTGTGTCCTCCCGTTACCCTTAGGAGAACTATGGGGACCATAGTTCTCCTTTAAGCGGATGTTGGTATAAGAGATTTTAATAACATTTACAAAGAGAATTTAAGAGGATTATAAATCTGGATAACTTCAGATAAAGGTACCAACTATCAATGTTGTGCCTAAAATGGCAGCTAACAAAGAACAACAGCTTAGCCAGCAGAGTAACCTAAATATCAAATATCTTCTCACCGATGTGCATATTTCTCTGTATGTCAGAACTGATGCATTCAAAAACTAGATCAAAGAAAATGAACACAAAAGGGTCCTACAGCAATCAGGTTTCAACTTTCACCATATGGTGCAAATAAACAAAAGTTCTGACTGGTAACACTTGGAAAATCCTCCAATGTTGTGCTCATTTTGTTTTCTCTGGTGTTCATGGTTTCATTTTCATTGCTGTGTCATTAGATCAATTTATCACTGGATCTTTTACATGATAAAACTTTTCGTTATAGGGTTAGTGGTCCTTTCATGATCGGTATCGCCAAGTACAGGAAAAAAAATATCGGTACTCGTACTCGATACAGAAGTACCGGTAATGGGCATCCCTAATAACAAGCAAGTAAACTAAGCAGAATTCAGTTTACTGGTTTTAGATTGGTACAAAATTATTTCCGATTTGCTGCATTTTGTGTTCAATGTTTTGCTCCTTGCCTCATATTTTTTTAATTTGTTTTAATAGCTTGAACATTTTTTTTTTTTTGGGACGCATATTATTTGCTCTTCTGCTTCAAGAATAGTAAATGATGGCTTTAAATTGGTTGTATTTAGTGATTTCTGTAGCCATGCAGCCTTGAAGAGCAAATTAATGTTTAACAGATTGTCAGTGTTATTCTCCATAGGAGTAATTGATCAACTCAGTGGGAGGAGCCTGACTACCTAATGAAATTAATTATTAAATAGCTGCCGAGGAAGGCAAAGCAAAGATCTCACCCCAGCCTCTTGAAGAGACATAGGCAGTCACTGTGAGCCCTTATACTGCCAATTCCAGTGGAAAGAGCCTTTAATAACACCATTAAGTCATCATGTTGTTGCTGCACGTAACCCAGAAGAACTTCCTCTGCTACTTTCTGCTATAAATGAAGAATAGTGTGTATTATTGTAGAACAAGAGTCAGTTCATGTAAAAAAAAACTTTCCAACTCTCCAGGTTTATTTTGTACGCCTGTTTCGTAAAACAAAATGTGTCACTTGTCTAAACCCTACTTCCTCTATAAATTGTTCAATATTATAATTCCTTGATTGCTTAAAAAAAAACACATTATTTTTTGTCCATTTAAGAATGCAAGGTGAACCTATACTCTGTTGTAAAATAGAAGATATATCACACTCACATATTAACGTAAAGTCTAACTCTGGGCAAAATCACAAAAAAGAGAAGTGGTTTAAAGTGACATTAAACCCTCAGATTTTTTAACATAAACCAATACTGTAATGTGCGCCTTACTGTAATCCATGGTAGTTTCGCTTATCTTTGCTGCTCTTCCTTTTAAATCCTCATGTCTTCTCATGCTTGGGGAGAACTTCCCTTTGCAGCTGAGTGCCTCTTCCTGTAGTGCTGGCTCAGGTTGCGAACCTATACACAGACACCATGTATCCATTCCAGAGACAAGGCAGTCTGCTGCAAAACAGAAGTTCTGCCCAGTATGAGAACAGATACAGATTTAAAAGGAAGAGCAGCAAAGAGAAGGGAAACTACCATGGATTACAGTAAGGCGCACATTACAGTATTGGTTTATGTTAAAAAATCTGAGGGTTTAATGTCACTTTAAAACAAAAAAACCCACAGCTCTGGATATACAGTACCTGGCTCTTTTCCTGTCCTCCGCAATTACTCCTTTCCACCACTAGCTGTCCTCAGTCTTCTGGCGTCGCTCAACCCTGGAGGCTGGGCATCAACGGCCCCATGCCACAGCACCCTGCAATAATACATATAATGATTCAGAGAATGGAGCTGCAAAATAATTTCAAAAACTCACAGACTTAAAGAAACATCAAACAAAAGTGACCCAAATCCAATATAGTAAAACTTTAAAGAAGAACTCGGGGCAAATAGAATCTTAACCCTTGCAGTGAGGCTACACCCACACTGCAAGGGTTAAGTGCTCATTTTGTCTAGGGAGCTAAAATATGAATGTTATACTCACACAAACCTCAATCCCGGCTTGCTCTTAGGCTGGTCCCTTCAGCCTTGCTCCCCCTCTGCTCCAGCAGTCTAAGGTCCTGTGAGTCATCATGTTCTGTACACTGTATAGAAAGTAAGGACACCGAGGGACAGCCTATTGCTGGAGTGGAGGAGGAGACAGGCTGAAGAGTCTAAAAGCAAGCTTGGATCACAGTTCAGGTGAGTATAACTTTGTTATTTTAGCTCCCTAGACAAAATGAGCACTTAACCCTTGCAGCGCAGGGGTAGCCCCACTGCAAGGGTTATGATTTTATGTGCCCTTCTTTAAAAGGAAAATCCACTTTATAAAATAAATATGATGGAAATCGTACAAAAAATGAAATAGTATATACAGTATAATAGCTGCACAACCCATTTTGTAATTTAATAACAGTTAAAATTGCTTTTCCATTTAAAACTGCAGCTGTATTTTCTAAAACTGTCAGTAATGTAATATGGCGACCTGGAAGCATTCTGTACACAGATGGTGTGCAGAACGCCCCCAGAAATGTCACTTCCTGCTTCTGTGATTGGCTGACTGATTTTCCCAAAAGTCTGAACTAAGATACTAAATAAAATGTTCAGCATCCCTTGCATTAGAAATGTAATTTTTGGTGAGATACTCCCTAAGGGTTAAAGGAGAACTATGAGGTGAGTGCTTTTCACTCACCTCATAGTTCTAGCCGACCTGTGACAATGAGACTGTCACAGGTCGGCTCAGTAGATCGGGAGGTGAGCGAACACATACCGACGTTCGCTCACCTCTCGATCCTGTCACGGCTCTCTGCCATGACAGGAGAGGGGCTGGATTCCCCCCTCCCCGCTCCGATCCGCCAGCGCTGACTGGCGGAACGGACGGGGGAGGGGGCGGGTACAGCTGGCTCTGCCTCTATATAGGCAGAGCCAGCTGTCAGTCACGCAGCTGGGCGGATCCCGGCACAATTGTCGGGATCTGCTTCAGCTGCGGTGTCTCAGTATACCGCGAGTTGTAGCTTGCGGTATACTGAGCCTAGGGTGATGGGAGGACGCTAGTTTGTGTCCTCCCGTTACCCTAAGGAGAACTATGGGGAAAAGACTTAACCCCATAGTTCTCCTTTAACTACAACTAAAGGGATGTCCACACTGCACCTTTCCACATTACAACACAGGAAGTCCAAAAGGTGATTATAACAAACCCAGAGACTCCTATTCAGGGATCAGTTTTCAAAAAACAGCAACAGAAAGAGGCCGAAATCTGCAACAAAGTTTGTTAAAATTCCTGCAATGTACATTGATCACCCAGAGGGGTAGATATTTTTTTCTCAAAAAAGTGTAGTTACTCTTTAAATAGACCTGATAGGATATAATCAATGGAATTGATCATTGACTCTCCTTCTGATTTTAATAGAGATCACTATTTCTCCTTTACAGATCTTCCACGTCAGTGTTACAGTTGGAAAATATTTTCGCTATGACCCAAATACATATACTCTGCTACAATGTGACCAGTGTCCACCAGGGACTTTCGTTAAACAGGACTGCACCGCTGGGCAGAGAACGGAGTGTGCCCCCTGCCCGCCCAATCACTACTCAGATCAGTGGAACTTTGACAAGGAATGTCAGTTCTGCAGCACAGTGTGTAAGGAGCTGCAGCATGTGAAGCAGGAGTGTAACAGCACCAGGAATCGGCAGTGTGAGTGCTCTGCAGGACACTTCCTGGATGTGGAGTTTTGCCTCCCTCACTCAGGGTGTCCTCCTGGATTTGGAGTGCTGCAGCGAGGTAAGCAGCAATGCCATATCAACGGGCATGTTCAATTACATTTAGCATTTTACATTGTCAGAAGTAAGGAATTGGAATTGCTAAGAGCGACCTGATCCCCCAATGGCCTCTGCCAATAGTTTTTTGTTTGTGTCAGGACTGCTCAGTCCATGGAAAGGGAAAATCAAGCTAAAGTTGGTTGATGCAGCTTAGGAGGTCTAATGCAGGTCAGAAGGAGATCAATTGCAGGTGAAATGCACCTGTCAATGAATGCAATTGAAAGCAAGCTACATTTGTGCATCAACACTAGCCCATAGTCTGTTGGCACATGCCCTAAAGCTACTGACATCAAGGTTTACTTGTTAGAAGGTGTTCCTATCACCGTTCCCCTGCATACCTGCAGTGTGCAAAGTTAAAGTTATCAAATGTCAAAAGCTAACTTTAGTCCCTCTTCTGGTTTAAATCCATTGCGCCTAGCCGAGGTAGATAGCCCCATCATTCTGGCAAGACCCTGGGGAACGTTGAATAGCCCAAATCTTGCAAAAAGACACTCCTGCACTGCAACATTTTTTACAACATTTTGACATTAGCGGTGGAGACAAAGTTAATAAGCGGACCTTGCTTATAGTGCAAGGGTATATGCTGGTTAGCGCCCCTAGATGGCACTGACGAGAATTCCTATACTCATCAGTGCCACCTAGCGGCTTTTATAAATGAACCCCTATGTCTCCAAAGTTGATCTAGGGATAGGCAACCTTGGCACTCCTGCTGTTGTGGAACTACCAGTCCCAGGAGGCATTGCAAGACTCTGACAACCACAAATGCAACTTCCAGAGGTAGAAGCAGGGTGGGATTTGTAGTATTACCACAGCTGGAGCGTCGGGGTTGCCTATCCCTGTTCTAGACCCTTCTGTGTGAATTCTATCTCAGCCAAAACACATGGACTGATGCATGCTCAAATGCCGAGTGTGCCTTGTATGCTCTTATGGTTCATCTAAAGTTGATCTGTGAATGTACAGTATATGTCTGTATGGTGCTCTGCAACTTCTAGGACTTTAACTATTACAAAATAATAATAATAATAATAATAATAATATATGCTATTTGATATCAGCAATATTGAATGTATGAGTGAATATCAAAGTTCCACCAAAGTGGTCATCAACAAAAAGAGACACACAACAATTGTAGGTACAGCATTTTAGACAAAATTCACTGAGCAACCAGTAAACAATACAAATTGGTAAATTCCAAATATCTTTTACTACAAAACGCTACAGAAAAGTTATAAGACATTATGACACACAAACACTCGACTGATTCATAAAGGGTTTGCCCAGCGTATAGCTGGATGAACATCTTTTGTACAGCATTGCAGCCGCTAGATGGAGAGAGAAGCATAGGAAGGAGAGGGAGCTGGTTCTCCTGTAGTAGTCAAATTTACTAGCAAGTCTATAAAAATGTAAAGGAAAAACACTGCAAGGAAGTATACTGTATATAGTTACATAGTTACATAGTATTTGAGGTTGAATAAAGACATATGTCCATCAAGTCCAACCTATTGTGTGTGTGTGTATAGTCCCTTGAGGCATCTCATTCTTAAGAGTACCTGTACCCCTGTATATTACGGTCTCTCAGGAAATCGTCCAAAAGCTTCTTGAATGATTCCACACTATTTGCTGGAATCACTGCTTGTGGCAACGAGTTCCAGACCCTAACCGCTCGAACGGAGAAGAACCCCCTTCGCCCCTTGTGTTTGAATTTTTTTTCTACCAGTTTTAGGTGGTGGCCTCTAGTCTTTGTTACGGAATTAATCTTAAAGAGTTTGTTGCTAATGTTGCTATGACTATAGAACATCTTGTACATGAAAATCATATCCCCCCTTAATCTCCTTACTTCCAGCGTGAACATATTTAAATTTAGTAGCCGTGTCTCATAGCTCTGGTCCTCCATCCCTTTGATGAGTTTGGTTGCCCTCCGCTGGACTCCCTCCAGCTCAAGGACATCCCTTCTGTGCACCGGTGCCCAAAACGGCACCGCATACTCCAGGTGAGGCCGAACCAGTGATGTGTAAAGTGGCAAAATTATAGACTTGTCCCTGCAAAACATTCCCTTCTTGATGCAGGACAAGATTCTACTAGCATTGCTTACACCAACCTGGCACTGTAATCTATTATTCAGTTTGTGGTCTACAATAACCCCCAAATCTTTCTCCATTTCCGACTTCCCCAGCGGCATACCCATAATTGTATAACCCATTTGCTTATTTTTGAACCCAAAGTGCATAACTTTGCATTTATCTACATTGAACCTCATCTGCCACATAGTTGCCTACTCCCCTATTTTATCCAGGTCCTCCTGTAATGTTATACTAACTTGGTCCGTTTCTATTACCCTCCCAATTTTGGTATCGTCAGCAAACACTGAGATATCGCTGTTTACTCCGTCCCCGATGTCGTTAATAAACAGGTTGAATAGCATGGGACCCAGCACAGAACCCTGAGGCACACCGCTAATGACACTAGCCCAGTCTGAAAGGGCGCCATTTATTGATACTCTCTGTACCCGTTCCTTTAGCCAGTTCTCTATCCATGTACACACCCTTCCATCTATGCCCA